GGTTCCGCGGCCTCCGCCACCCCCCTCCACTCCCTTCTTCCCCTCGCCGCTACCGAAGACGGCCGCCGGGAAGCCTGCGCGGGCGCCGGTGAAGGTGGCGGCGAGGATCTCGGTGCTCCATCCCCTCTCGGAGGCCTGCGGTTCCTGGGGCGGCGGCCCCAACCGGAGAGGCGGCGTCGTCGGGCGGTGGGCGGCGTTCGTAGGGGTGCTGGCCAGTGTGCCTGGCCGCGCGGGCGGCGGGTGGTTGGTGGAATCCGGCCGCGGCGCGAAGATTCTTCGTCAGATCTAGAGGATCGAAATCCCTTCCCGGCTACCTCTCTCTCGCCGTCGGCGGTGGCTTGTGATTTGCTCTCTGGCCCTGGCGTTGGTGCGAGTTGGTGGCCAGCTAGGGGACCGGGGGAAACCTTGGCCGGTCCGGCCGGTCCGGCGGCGGCAACGCCCAAGGGCGCTGCTTTCCTCCATGGGGGCGCAGCCGAGGTCCCCTGCTTCCACCCCGACCCACCCTGCCCGGGTGAAAACCTTATATCCTCTCAGATTTGGTGGCGGCGGTGCCTTGCGCGCCGTGACCTTGCTGGAGGCGCCGTTAGGGAGGCGGGATGCGGTCGGGAGGCGCTGCAGGTGAGGGACGGAGCTGCCTCCTCTTCATCGTCCGATTCCACGAAGCGTATTTCCACCTAGCTGGGCATGGACCGTGGCGGAGCAGCCGGCTAGGGATATCCCAAATTGAAGTGGCCGCACTATGTCCACCTTCCGATGTGAGGGCGGCATTCTTCGAGCTCTAGGGTGAGCTCCTCGAAACCCCGACGGTGCGGCGCCTACGAGCCATGGCGAGGGGGTAGGGTCCCTCTTCGGTGATTGAGATGGAAGATGTTGTTCCCCTTCTTCTCTAGGTGTTCCTGGAACATGGCCATCTTTGAAGGTCGGATATGCCCTGCTTTGCTGCTCTGCTTTTCCTCATATGATCCTAGTGTGGAGGGCTCGGCCTTTGCAAGCTGTAATCTTAATTTCCTTTGCATTAGCTGCTTGTGGAGGTTGTAGTTAGCGTTTCAGTCCAGTGTTCCCATTGTATCCTTCTGACCGCTGTAATTTGGTTGTTTGCTGTAACTCCTGGCCGGTTGATGGCTTTGTTAATTCAAAGCCGGGCTCCTCGCGAGCCTTCGTTCTAAAAAAACGTATCTCATCTACCTTGATTGGAGGTTTTGTAATCTTAGACCAACTTAAATTCTGCAAGTACATGAAATCAAAACAGATTAACATAGATCTCACCCTCGGTGTGCCTCGCGGCCACTTAAATTTTGCAAAATACGAGATGGCGAAGCATAATCCGGGCAAGATGGCTACCTGGGTTAGGGGAGGAAAAGATGAACATTGGAGAATGACGGGT